ACCGAAAATGGACGCCCTATGGAGGATCTTCACTGGACGACGAGTTTCCAGCCCATGGGAACGCATTAGACGGGTTTTAATGCATTTCAATGGGCTTTTTATTTTCGCATTACAATGTTTTCGTTCTACAGCGATTTCGCTGGAATGAATTAACGTCATAATGCGAGGCACCACTGTACTCTTCTAACAATCAGGAAGTTTTTCCTGATATTCAGCCTAAATCTGGCTTCCTGTAGCTTGAGCCCATTCTTACGTGCTCTTTATACCTTTCCCTTCCTGCCTCTCCAGAACTTTTTCATCTAGTTGAACCCTTTGGTTTATTTTCAGTCCTGCTAATAGGATAACCAAACTGTGATTGACAGGATATGTGGAAATGCATCCATGAGATATCTCCCAGTATCCCTTTCCTTTCAGGTCTGTTGGGGGGGGGGGCACCTACTGTGTGCTAAAAACAAAGCCAAGCATCTGGATTTCGAAACAACATGTTAGATTTAACGCTAATCCTTAGTTTTATGTTAAGCAGGAGGAATGTACCTAATATTAAGAAAATAATGTTTTCATACTAAAAGCATGAAAAAGGTTACTTGCAAAACATTACTTTTTTGATGCATCAGTTGTCTTATCCTCTAGTTTTATGCAAAAATAGCTTCTTTAATATTAACACATTACATTCCTATGCAGCCCCCTCTTGTTGAAAAAAAAGTCAGCAGTGAGGTTATCTGTGAAAAGATAAGTTTTCACCAGGGAAAGGCTGAGCCCTTCAGGTGGGCAATGAAAGCATTCAGTGACATACCGTGTTTCCCCAAAAATAAGACAGATTCAGTGACATACCGTGTTTTCCCAAAAATAAGACAGGGCCTTATATTAATTTTTGCTCCAAAAATGCAATAGGGCTTATTTTCAGGGGATGTTTTATTTTATTTTCATGTACAACCATCTACATTTATTCAAAGACAATCACGTCATCTTTTGGTTGCTGCACAAGGGTGGAGGGCGGGGTTTCACTCAACTGGGGCTTATATTTGGGGTAGGGCTTATATGACCAGCATCCTGAAAAATCCTACTAGGGCTTATTTTCAGGTTAGGTCTTTTTTTCCGGGGAAACAGGGTATTATTGGAACTGCAGTATGATGATGATCCCAGAGGCCCATTATGTAAGAAAGTCCACATCTCAAGGTTGCAGCACTGGGCAAATCAGTGCCTATAGCTACAAACAAAATTCTACCATTTTTTGGGAAGAGCGTCAGGACTCTGCTTAGCTTCTAAAACTGGACGTGACTAAGTATCTCTGGGGCAGTAGGATGGAGGTGATAGGCAGGAATGGATGACCAGGGGTTGGCACTGTCTTTAGATTTGAGAACTAGAACACCCCCTTGGAGGAGACAAGGATCACAGTCCCCTAAGGAGTGGTCCTCTCTAGAAATCAGGGAGGAGGCACTGAATTTTCCCAGCTAACAGCACCACCTCAGCTTGTACCGTCTGCATAATGAGAGGTTCTTATGAAAACAGGACGCTTCCTGGGAGCAGGAGAGAGGGCTGGTTCATCTCGCATGGCCTAATATTGCAGGATCTGCCTGCAAGCGTTTCGTCCTGAAGTCGTGTCCATTAACTGCTATAGTAGGATAGGATAGGAGCAAAGCTTTCACTCTTCACCATAAGTTCTGCTGTGGAGACAAACTTCCATTGTATAACAACAACAGCTAGAAAAAGGCTGTTCTCTAATAGTTTGTTGCAGAAGGAAGATTCGGGAGATGAGGAAAGGTTTTTTCCCCCAGCTACAGTTCCCAGAAACCCCCAGTCTGTATGGCTATTGAAAAGGGATTATAGTAGCCGTAGTCTAAAGTATCAGGAGGGTGTTTGCTACCCTGGCCTATGGGACGTTGACTACTTTTTGACATGTCTGCAGATCCTTCAAACAATATTAAGCAGCCTCTGTGTGATGCGTCTGATTGTTCCATTATTATGCCCATTACTTATGTTTTCCTTTCTTGGTAATTGCTAGGGGTCCATGGTTTGTATAAGTAGGCGTCTGCGTTTGATGGCTAATAACAAGTCCTTTTGAAATTCAGTAATGCTGACGTAAGTCAGAAGTGAGTCAACTTGATGGTTCATCACAGGAAGACGTATGATGATGAAACATATAAAATTTTGATGCTGGAAGACGGATTCTGGATCGGATAGGCAAGGTGGAGGGAGGTTAGACCAAGCAGAGCAGAGTGTGGCTGGTAGGAAGGAGGCCAGCTGTGGGGAAAGGGGGTGGGAGTCTCTCTGGTGTTACTCAGTATGGAAGATTACACTAGCATCCTGACCAGCTTCAAAGAACAGCTTTTATAAGTCTTTTATAAGACACTGTGTTGAACCACAAGATCAGCAGACCAAGGCCCCTAGGAAGCTATATCTGGCTCTTTGAAGTCCCAGAATGTTGGTGGAATAAGGTGCTGAATGCTCTGGTTTGAAAATCCCTTTGGCACCTTCTTGACATCAAAAGGGACTGACAGTCTCTGCCTACCTGTGCACTCAGTTGGACCATAAAGAAGGCTGACTGCCGAAGAATTGATGCTTTTGAATTGTGGTGCTGGAGGAGACTCTTGAGAGTCCCCTGAACCGCAAGGAGAACAAACCTATCCATTCTGAAGGAAATCAACCCTGAGTGCTCACTGGAAGGACAGATCCTGAAGCTGAGGTTCCAATACTTTGGCCATCTGATGAGAAGAGGAAAGGGTGAGGGCAAGAGGAGAAGGGGACGACAGAGGACGAGACAGTTGGACAGTGTCATTGAACCGACCAACATGAATTTGACCAAACTCTGGGAGGCAGTGGAAGACAGGAGGGCCTCGCGTGCTCTGGTCCATGGGGTCACAAAGAGTCGGACATGACTTAATGACTAAACAACAACAACAAAGTGCACTCAGTCAAAGGTGGTTGTTGGTGTTGTTATGTGCCGTCACATCACGTCTAACTTATGGTGAGCCTATGAATGAATGATCTCCAAAATGTCTTATCTTCAACTGCCCTGCTCAGCTCTTGTAGACTCATCCCTGTGGCTTTACAGAGTCAATCCATCTCCCATTTTGTCTTCCTCTTTTCCTGCTGCCTTCCACCTTTCCTAGCATTACTGTCTTTCCCAGAGAATCGTGCCTTCTCATGATGAGCCCAGAGTAGGACAGCCTCAGTTTCCACATTTTTGCTTCTAGAGATAGTTAAGCAGAAGTTAGCAATGTAGATGTACAACTGTAACCAAAGCAAGATGTACATCACACACACACAGACACACAGACACACAGACACACACACACACACACACAGAGGAGACTTTCCATGCTCAGCAGGAAACTCTGTAAAAGATTTGTATTCACATTTGTTTGTTTGAAAGCAAGCAGAAGCTTCTGTGCAACTGGGATCAAGGTTATTTCACAAGCAAATTCCAACACTAGCTCTCTCTCCTCAAAATGGTGAGCTGGGGAGTTAAGAGTGGGGTCAGAAAAACAAGAAAAGCCCTTCAGACAGCTGATGCTGGATGGCACCACTGATGCCCACCTTCCTTTTGAATCCCCATCACCATTTCCCTTCCCTGGAGAAGACCACTGCCTGTGTCCCACAACCCCTTTCCGGTATTGCCTAACCTTATGTGCTATTCTCAGGTGCAGCAGAAAACACCAGGATCTTAAGTAAGACTAAGTTTCTAGTCCTGTTGGTTTCTGTAGGTAGCCTGGAATTGTTCTTTTACCATAACCTATATAATACCTTGGTTCAGTTCCGGAGGCCAGCATGAGCAAAGTTGATGAGGAGAGTAAGATCATGTTTCTCTTCATCTCTTAGGTAACTTAGCAGAGCATGGAAAAGTTACTTTTTCGTATCAGAATTCGCGGAATCCCTCAGCCAGCACAGGCAACAACTGTTTCTCCACTTGGTTTGGTTGTGCCTCCCAGCCTGATGTAGAACTCTGAGGAGCTCAAAAGCTTGCACAATCTTGTCCAGTTTTACTTTGGTCTCCTAAAAGTATTAGGAGTGTCTGTGTTAGTATGATCGCTTCTCATGAACTTCCTTACATTTAGTCTCTGGGTGTTTCTCAGTTCCCTGGGGGTTAAAGAGGGTGGGCCCAGCGAGTGAACACCTGTATAAATCCCATTGATTCAGTGGATCTTTTCTCTTTGGGAATACCAACTGGAGTCCACCCTAGACGTTTAATGAAGTGGGGCAGTAGGGCTGATGTATTATCTCAGCTGTCTTGGACTTGAGAAGTCAAAGGGAGCAAAGGAAGATGGGTGAACTTCAAAATAACTTGTTCAAACCACACTTCTGACTCACTTTCAAAACAAACAAACAAACCTACAATTGTATTTGCGAAGGCTTTCATGGCCGGGATCTAATGGTTGTTGTGGGTTTTTTGGGCTCTTTGGCCGTGTTCTGAAGGTTGTTCTTCCTGACGTTTCGCCAGTCTCTGTGGCCGGCATCTGTCCTCTGTCCTCTGAAGATGCCAGCCACAGAGACTGGTGAAACGTTAGGAAGAACAACCTTCAGAACACGGCCAAAGAGCCCGAAAAACCCACAGCAACCATTAAACCTACAATTTTTACTCCCTTATTATTTTTCTTTATTTATTTTTCCTTTGGTTAGGTTATGTTTTGCTTTACTTATGGAAAATATACTATAAAATATAGGGGAAAGCATGCATTTTCTTTTCTTCTCTATAGTTTTTGAAAAACTCTTTTTTTAAAGCTTCTGTCATGCTGTTTAGAGGTGCTAAAATTAAACAAAGACATTCCCGAGAGAGCCCCTGCTGGGCCACTTACCTTACATTTTTTTTCCTGAAAGCAAGTCTAAAGTGGAGGTGGGGAAAAGCACACCACCCTGACCCTTGAACAATAATTCCGTGGAGAATGGGACTGTTCATTCTTCCTGTTTTTTGGAAAATGTATTCTGTCCACTGTATAGCAGACGCTGAAAAGAACAGAGCTGATGTATGATGTGAAATACCAATTGCCTCGTTTTCTTGCTAGTGGGCTGCAGTTTAGCTGGCAGAGTGGAGAGGAAGTGGCCAATTGGACCGGCGGTCCCAATTTCACGGATGGAGGAGCTCTGAGGACTGGCAGTGGCCCAGGCACAAGGTACAAAACACGCAGAGGATGTGATGCAGGAGTGGTCAACTGTGGTCAGCAGGAAGAGTTTTTGGACACAGTCTGGGGAAGGGCTATCGCTCCATGGTAGACACAGAGCTTGGAAATAGAGATGGCCGCAAACCTCGGTTTGGAGTTCATTGGTGTGGTACCACAGGTTCTCTCCCTCTCTCCTCCCCGCTGGCTCGCCCACTCATAAACTGGCACACACTGCTTTTCTCCTGCTCTTCACACTATTGTCTAGTTGCAGTTGGAATACAGACTTCCCTTCTCTGCCTCCTCCAGCAGCTGCCCACTCAGACAAGGAGGCAGGGCAGGGATTTCTGCAGTGCTGCCTTTCAGTGGACAGCTGCTGGAGGAGGCAGAGATTGGTTGTCTGCGCGACTAAACAAGCGCACAAAGAGCAGGAGAAAAGCAGCACTCACTAGCTGGTGAGTGGGCGAGCCAGCTGGGGGGGGTGGTAGGGGACAAGAATGTGTGATACCTGTGAGCGAATCAGGTTTGTGCCTACCTCTGCTTGGAAGCTTACTTCTTTTGGATGACACCTCCCATAACACACACACACACCCCGGCATGGCCATGCTGCCTGTGGGATTCTGGACGTTGTAGTCCAAAAAGGGAACTTCTCTGTCCTTCATAAGTTGAGGGTTCCAGGTTAAGGAAGCCTATAGACAAGAATGGGAAGATCAACCCTTCAGGTCTGAATTGATGACACAGGTTTATACAGATCAGTCATCTCCTGTAAAATACTGTTGAGCTCATATACTTTTGCACCTTTGCCATAGCCTTAACAAGCTGCAAAGGTGATATTTTGTTTTATCTTACTTTTTTATTATTTTACAGAAGCCTCACCTTTACCCCTGATTTAGGACTCAAGATGGCACATCACAAAATTAAAAGCTGATACGGGTAAATCAAGTGTATGTAGAAGATTCAGTCCCTGGTGATTCCAGAAGAAGTACTTTAGAAAAGATGCTAATTCGTGTGGCTCAACCTAGGGTGGCCCAAGCATTAAGACTGCAACTTCCATGGATCCAGAGTAGCTAGTGATGGAGACGATGGGAGTTGGAACCCAGCTGTATCTTGAAGGCCTTGTTTTTATGGCCGTGTTCTTATTACGTTGCATGTCTGTGTGGCTTTTAATTATAAGCCACTTTGACAGCCGACTTTGGCTAAGAAGTGAGATAGAGAGAGCTTCCCTTCGTTCTCATCGTGTCTTCCCTAATATTCTTCTTGAGTCGCTTTCATCTTTGAATCCCTTGATCTATTTCATTTCAGAAAATGAGCCATCTTCTGCTATACCTTCTCTCTTAGAAAGACAACTGTTCCTTTTTATACTTCTGTCCATCTGCAGTTGTCTTTTGCAAATCTTGTAGCCTGGATTCTTGGGTGACTTGGATGGAGATGTGAATCCATCTCATTAGCTTGCTGGTTCTTGACAAGATGGGCTGCCTTTACACTTAGCGCCAGCCTGTTGAATGTTTGTTGACGCACACGAGATTTCATGCCTCCAACATGAAAATGAGACATTCCTTGCCTATGAAGGGTTCTGCGAATGGCATAAGATGCCTCTGTGCAGAATTAGTGCCTTGTTCCTTTGGGAAGCAAAGTGTGCCCGTGCACACTTGCAGAGGACCAAGCACAGAAGAAGTGGCCGGTCAATGGAAAAGAGGCAAGCAACCATGCAACGAGGCAGCAGCTGTCACGCTTTAGCTGTGCATGACCTATTTGTGCGCATCCTGGAAGAACCATTCAGCAAAATAAGGTCATGTTAGAGTGGCCGTTGGTTGCACTGTGCACATCCTGGAAGAACCATTCAGCAAAATAAGCACGTGCTTAGGGCATTGACAAGGAAAGGGGGCACCACAGAGTTTTTTTCAGTGCCATTTTCACCATGAATCATGGTGCAAATGGTGCACCCTCTAGAAGAGGGGTCTCAAACTCAATTTACCTGGGGGCCGCTGGAGGCAGAGTATGGGTGAGGATGGGCTGCATCAGATTTTCTGCCAAGCGGAGCAAGAGCCCGAGGAAGCCGCCCAGGAGTTTCCTTAGCTGACAGACAGGTGGGCTGGCTGGCAGGCTGCAGTTCTGGAGTTTCCTTAGCCCGGCTGGGGCTCCGAGGAGGAGGAGGAGGGAAGCGCGAGCCCTTGTTTCCAGCCACGACCCCCTCTGGCTCCTTCCTCACTACCACCACCACCACCACCACCAGCAGGACGGAGAAAAGGAGAAGGGAAGCAGCGCTGGCGACCGCCTAGCGGGGCGGACAACATAATTTTTTTAAAAAAACCCCTCACAGAATCACTTTGCCAAAGGAGAAAAGCTCCCACTAGTACCTGTGAAATTAAACAGAACAGGGCAGGGGACCGCCACAGGTGCACGCGCACACGCACGCATGCACACACGCATGCACACACACACACACACACACACACACACACACAGGTCCAGCAACCTTCCTCTGAGGGCCCCCCTCAAAAAAAGGAACACTCAGTAGCAGCATCTACCCCCATCATGACAGGGGAGCAAACTTTGCGAGGTGAGTCCAGGCAGCCTCCAGAGCCGAGGTGGCTGAAGCAGGACGACGAGGAGGAGTTCTTTATTCTACCTTTGCAGAAAGTACCAAGAGTCAAAATAGATTGCACTGAATAGAATAACCTTTTAAGCAGCATCCAGATCACACAACATTTTACAGTGAGAACAGGCCCTATGCTTCTTAAGGTGGTGGTGGAGAGACTGAGAGCTGCTGCCCCTGAATTCAACATCCTTTGTTCCTGCCCTCTAACTGTTGTTCTTGCTGTCTAGCATTTTCAAACTGACTGCTGGTGCAGTCATGCCCTGGTGACAGACCCCTGCTCATTTGCTGCCTACTATGTAGGCAAATAGTCTTGGGATCTGTTTCCAACTCAGATTAACTCTTTACTTTTTCTACTGTCTATGTGGTTCCTTAGTATGACTACCTTCCATCTCAGGGGCAGTCCCTCTTGTGGTATTGTTAACTGACATATGCATGCCTCTCATCTTCAGACTCAAGCAGAACTTTTCTGACCAGTATCATGAGCCTTCTGCCCAGTCCCACCACAAGGGAAAGCATGTGATTTGACATGAGGTTTGTCTGAACTTAGTAACCCTGAATCTTCATAACATATAGGTTTCAATTATTTGATCCATTCCAAAAAAGGGAACCTGATCAAAGGCATGATTTTTTTTTTTGACTTATACTCTTCCATCCCTACAGCAGTAATGAAAGAAGACTCCTTCCTGTTCTGTGTGAGAAGTGTGGCTTGCTGTGCTGTCATGTTCTGTACCAGCAAGGATCTTAGATTAGAGATTTTAGATTCTATTTAGTGCATTTTAGGTTGAGATGTAAATTCTCAGTTGTTGAATGAGAGTCAACAACAGTCTTCACATTGCCTGTAAGATGTCAAGGATATTTTCTGTGGGTCTTTGTATCTATTTGTCCATTAGCAAGTCCTCCTTTGCTTTCTGCCTGTGTGTGCACTTTGCTTCACAAAGTGAAAAGACCTTTTTTTTCTACAGAGGGTTTTTTTTTTGTAAAAGTCGTAGGAACTCTGATATTTAAAAAGATCTTTTGGAATCCAACCATCAGCCATTCTCACGACATGCCCGAGCCAACGTAGACGTTGCTGTTTCAGTAATGTATACATGCTAAAAATTCCAGCTCATTCTAGGATTACTCTATTTGTAACTTCATCCTGCCAGGTGATACCAAAAATGCATTAGAGATAAACATATGGAACGTGTTCACTATAGGTGCAAGAAGAAAAAAAAGTAAAACCACCCCAAATAGGTTTTTAAGCTTTTGTTTGAGCTTTTCAGTTTACAGATTCTGACAAAATCTGTCTGTATTAATCATAGTTTGAAAGAGCAAGTTTTGATTGTATGTATTATTTTGTATAAGATATGTGGTTCTTTTTGCCACATGCTATATTTTTAAATTACAGTATTTTCATGCATTTAATAGGAGCGTTCTACAGTTTTTTCAAACTGTAGGACCCGCCACATATTATATTCACAGGGGCCACCATAATCTTTTCAGTGCTTGGGGCCTCTAACGGTCTTAATGCTGCCCTGACTGACTATACAAGGGGGGAAATTTCTGTTAAAATTTCAGTTTGTTTTTGTTTCGTGTACTTCGAGAGGTGCTCTATTTTCGGGTACCTGCTAGTTTAGTAAACACGAAATGGGCTGAATCTTTAGCTTTCCTTCATTTCAGTTTCCCCTTGCAGGTCTCTGGCACTGGACCAACTTAAGCTCTACAGAAACCTCAAAACTTCGTGAAAGCAGGAGGGGAATTTAACAGACAATCTGCTCCAAATGTGAGCAGCCTAAAGAAACAGAAACCTGTGGAGCCAGCACTTTGCAACATTTATGTCACACCTTCAGCAGCATTAAAGAAATTAAAATCACCATCAGGAGGAAGCAATACAGATGAGAAAGAGAACCATCAGATACAATAGAATAATCCAGTACAGTGAGGCTACAGTGGTGCCTCGCTTGACGAAGATAATCCGTTCCAGCAAAATCACCATAGAACGAAATCGTCGTCAAGCAAAAGTAAAAGAAACCATTGAAATACATTGAAAACTGGTTCAATGCATTCCAATGGGCGAAATGCCTCAGCGTCCAGTGAATATCCTCCATAGGGCGGCCATTTTCCGGTGCCTGTATAGCGAGGAATCCGTCCTAAAACACAGCGGGCAGCCATTTTGCACAGCGGGCGGCCATTTTGAAGACCTGACGATCAGCTGTTTTGATCATCGTTAAGTGAAAAATTGGTTCCCGAAGCAGGGAACTGATTGTCGTTAAACGACAATAACCCATACAAACATCGTTTTGCTATCACTATAGGGATCGCAAAATACTCATCGTTAAGTGATTTCCTTGTCTAACGAGGTAATTGGCAAGCAGGGCACCGCTGTATTTCAAAGGACAGAGCAATGGATGCAGGTGATTAGGGCTTCACAAGGGCA